GAGAACGATAGCAGCCATTAGGAAAGATAAAGCTTCCGCGTCGCGATAGCACTAAGGCATCCGAAAATTACCGGTATAACAAGCGCAATTCCAACGCTGTTAGAACGCTGTTTATCGACTTGAATTTTCGCTCCTGGTGAAAAACCGGTTGCCTCGGGTTGCTTAAGGTTCGATCCTGTCGCCAAGATCGACCGTGGATCTCACCACCGTCGACGATGTAACGACGCGGAGCGGCTCGTTTATACAGCATTACGAGGCATAATCTAACGCGACGCTATTACGAAGTGGTAAGAAAAACGTTTGTCGCCCGATGCGAAAGGAGAGGAACTCATTGTTTCACCGGGGATAATGTCCCCGCCTTTACCGCCCTTTTCTTTTCTCCCTGTCGGCGCCGGGGGATCCACGCCAGAAATTCGTCGATGTAATTTCGCGCGAGCGATAGAGCGACACGCTGGAATTTGCACAAGCGTTCTTTTGTCGTCGGCAATATTACTATGACGGATTCTTGGCTATGAACGCAGCCAAGCTATTTCGCAGCGAATAAGAACGGATAAGAGGCCGTATGATTACTACGCGATCGATCATCCTCGCCATTCAAACTTTTATACGCGAGTGAAAATATATATATATATATATATATATAAAATATATATATATAAAATATATATATATATATATATAAAACACATATATATATATGTATATATATATAACGCCGCAGATCGATATTATCGTAATAATTCTTTAATACCTTCGATTGCCGGAATTACTCGCCCTCGAGAGAGGTATACCATACCTTCAACATTCGAACAGTTTTGATTCGATATCCGATTACTGATCACAGAGCACAATAAAATCTCGAAATTGCACTCGCTAACGGAAATTTAGTGCAATCCGTTTTCCACTCCGGTGAAAATTACGACTTTTGGATACACCATAATGAGATTGGGGGAAAGGATCGAACGAAAGAAGAATCGACTGTTGCGGAAGTAGACTTTTCTTTGTAAATAAACGTGACGGTTACCTACAGACTGGTCGCGACTGTGTAATAAGACTTCGTGTAGCACCCAGTATTGGCAAGCCTTGATTTATTCGGCCGACCGAGACGGGAGCGTCGGGAACGTGTACGGTTAAAGGAAAAGCGGGTGGTGACCCGTAGTCGAGTACACGTTTCCTTTCTTTCCCGCCGCGAAAAGCGTGGGATTGCATAAGCTGCCGTTAGAATCCCTATATTCCCCGGCTCTTGACTTTATAACGGAACGCTCGTCGAATGCGGTCGTCGTCGTCGTCGTCGTGAAGAGACCAATCCCGAAAAACTTTCCGTCGCACGTACAGCCCTTTCGAAAAGGCGAAAAGTCCTCGGTCGAACTTCGTTCCGGTCTAATCGCTCGAATATTCCTCCCGACAATCCCGACGGTCGCGTGCAATACATATCGCATCCATGTGAAAATTTCGCCATTTCTAAGCCACATCAGGATCGGCATATCCCTTCTCGGATAGCAAGTGAATATGGAATGAAGGCCGAGAAACGGTGAAGCGCATGCAGCGTGCAGTTTTTCCGTTCTGACAAGCGACCGCGATTGCATAGTAAAAAGACACAAGGACATTACGTGATCTTTCCCTTCTCTACAGTTTTTGTTTTATAAATAATAATCCCAATTGTTTATATTAACCGTTCGGAACGATGAAGGAATTTTCTCCCTCTT